TAGAAGAGTAATATTTTTTACAAATTGAATGTGATATCTATTAGCCAAGGTTGCAAAGACTCACTTCAGCTAAAACAATGTTTTTCTAAATTATGAAATAATTAGATGCCATGATCGAACTTTGAATTGGTAGGATACAAGAAGAGGTTGCAAAGAATGTGTTTGACATATTTAACCTGTTTATTTCACTTCATGAGAGTCAAAATCAGCGATTTTTCCCAAACTCACTCACTCACTCACTCACTCACTCAGCGATCAGCAAATCGCTGATTGTGACTCATAGAAAGCAAAATTTACAGGTTTTATGTTTCCAACGCATACTTCGTAACCTCTTCTTGTAAGTTACAAGTAAAACATGCCATCATACCATCTTTTGGTTTTATTATTCCGAAAAACATTATTTTAGCTGAAATGAGTATTTGCAACCTTGCATTAGCTAAAAATAAACAAACTATATTTTACAAAAAAAAAAAAAAAAAAAGTCGTTTATCCGCACGAATCAATTTTTTCAAAATTGTATACAGTGGGGACCTTGAAAAAAGTGCCACATATCAACTAACACCATTTTCTCGATTTTGACAAAAATGGCTTATTAGCCAATTTCTCATTTATAGGCAGAATGAGTACTGATAAGATTAAATAAATCTTATAAAAGATAATAATTCCAAGGATATTGCATTCTGAGGATACTTCCAAAATAATTCTAGGAAAAATTCAAAAGCAATTAAAAAAAACAATTTCAAGTTAATTCTTAAGAGAACTCCTAGGGAATTCTGAGGAAAATACCAAGTGAATCGATTTACGACGGTACAATTTCAATGACATTCTGTGAAGATTTTCTAGGGAATACCGAGTATAATTCCAAGGGCATTTTGAGAGGAACATAGATAATTATGAGCAGACTTTCAAAACTTTTTTGAGGTGAATTGCAGCTACAAAGCAAGACCATGATGGAGGTGGGTGGGTTCGATTCCCGGGTTGGTCTAGGATTTTTTTGGGCTGGAAAATTTCTCGACTTCCCTGGGTATGATTGTACTAGCCACACAATTATACTAATGCAAAAATGGTACAGGCATCGAAAGTTCTCAATTAATAATTGTGGAAGTGCCTCTAGAAAATTAAGTTGAGAGCACGCAATAAGCTAAAATGCGATAAGCAATAAAGCTTGAAATTCGAAGAAGAAGGAGAAGAAGAAGAAGAAGCATGAACATTCCATGGAGAATTCAAGCAAATTTAAATAAAATCGTTTTAAATGCTTTGACTGTTAGGTGGTCAAAAACCTAGGACCGAAACGTCGGCGATGATGTAAGAGAATCGACACACTTAGCTTTTGACTGCCACGTCGGAACATTGAATTTACAATTCGTTTCAAACCTTAAGATAAGTTCCATGATTTTTTTTTAGTAGGGATCTGTTCAAAATTCCTGGACAGTTATTAAGAAAATTTCAAGGGAATCTCAAAGAGATTTTAAAATTTATTTTTGAGGAATTCCCAAGGTGTGGTCACTCTACACACTTATTTTGCGCCAACATTTTTCTTAGTGTGCCTCAGTCTGACGCTGCTGTGCCGGCAGTTCCTAGAAGTAATTGAACTGACTATTGTTTGCTGGTGAATAATGTCTTGTTTGGCAACCCGGTATTGTAACAACTCTTGTTTTTGTTTTGTTTTTCAATGTTTACAAAAACGACAAGGACTCCAGTTAGGACTACACATTGGATGCAGCCGTCTCCAAGGATGCCTGCAACGGACGAGCTCCGTTGCTACACATCTTCGGCGGAAGGCCGACCCCGCACAACGAACGTCAATCATTAGTCAACCAGCCCTTCTGGTAGCCGGCGGAGGAAACGGATTTGCACCAAATTTTAGAGTCTACCAACCCCGATATTTACAGAGATACTTCAGTCACTATCATCGGATGTGAAAACGATGATAGAGATTTTCTTTAAAATCTCATCGATTTTTTTGTCATGACAAAACGTGACAGTGTTAAGATTATCGTAGTTACAAGCTCATTTATTGCTATTAAAGGTACTTGTACCGAGGAAATCTTAATAATGTATTCACTTTACCAATTACAGACGGTTGCTTGTTTAAATTCATCTAAATCAGTTAGAAATGTTGATGTCAAAACCACATAACAATTACTTTCATGAGTGCTTGATCATTGGACAATGAGAAGAAAGCTAATGATTGGTAGTTTCGTCTCGTGATAGTGAGAGGACCTGTTTTCTCATTGTCAAATGACGGCCGTGATATTTACCAGCTCTGCAAGCGACTCAAGAACCAGCTCTACCATGCACAGCAAGAGCAGCTTCAGCGTCGTCTGAAATCAAATCCTAAGAACTTTTGGCGCCATGTGATTGCCCAAAGAAAGGAAAGCGGATTACCCTCAAGTATGACGAACGACGTAGTGGAAGTGGACTCTATCGTGGGTATTTCCGACATGTTTCGCACACAATTCAGCAGTGTTTTCAACGACGAACGACTCAGCACTAAGGATGTAATTGCTGCGTCTAGTAACGTCTCTCCCTCAACCTTCTCCAGCCATCCATTTTCTATCACCCGTGAAATGGTTATTTCAGCCGGGATGCAGCTAAATACTTCAACGGGCCCTGGTCCAGATGACGTACCGTCGTTAGTCCTCAAACGCTGCTTGACTGCTCTCGCGACACCTCTAGCCAACGTTTTCAATATCTCCTTGATGTCTGGGGTTTTTCCAGCAAGCTGCAGAAGTCTTTCGTATTCCCAATCCACAAGAAAGGCTGCAAAAGGACTGTTTTAAACTATCGTGGAATAGCTTCGTTAAGTGTTACCTCTAAACTTTTTGAGTTGATTATACTCGAAAAATTGGTTCAAAGTTTTGCACACTGTAATGGCTTCATGCCTAAGCGTTCCACGACGACCAATTTAGTTACATTCACTTCGTTCATCATTCATGAACCAGAAAGTGGCCATCAAGTAGATGCAATCTACACAGACAGCCGCAGCATTTGACAAAATGAACCATGACATTGCGTTGGCTAAATACGACAGGATAGGTGTTCACGATGGCCTGCTTACTTGGCTCTACTCCTACCTGACTGGCATCCCCGTGACATCCGGCGTTCCCCAAGGTAGCCATCTTGGGCCATTTCTGTTTCTGTTGTACATGAATGACGTCAATACCATCCTGAAATGCCTTGAACTATCGTATGCGGACGACTTGAAACTCTACTTCGTGATAAAAGAAGCTAGTGATACCATTTTCTTGCAGCAACAATTGGAAGTCTTCGCTGAGTGGTGTCGTATTAATCGCATGTCACTGAATGTCTCGAAATGTTCTATAATTTCCTTTGGCCGCAAGCGTTCGCTTCATCACCATGACTACACCCTGACGGGCATAACTTTGAAACGTGAATCGACTATCAAGGATCTGGGAATACTGATCGACTCCAAGCTCAACTTCAAGGATCATGTTGCATACGTAGTATCCAAAGCTTCCTCACAACTCGGGTTCATATACCACTTCGCCAAAAAAAAAAATTCAAAGATGTATACTGCCTAAAAGCATTATACTGTTCGTTGGTGCGATTTATTTTGGAGTATTTGACGGTCGTGAGGTCTCCATACTACCAAAATGAAACCATGCGTATTGAAGCTATTCAACGGAAGTTCATCCGGTATGCTTCAAGGCATTTTGGCTGGAATGACCCTAGAAATCTGCCTATCTATGAAAGCCGTTGTATGCTTATCAACTTAGAGAACTTTGGATGCGAGACGTAAAGTAGCAATGGCGAGGGCGATCTTTTTCAGGGAAACATTGACAGTTCTACACTGCTGAGTAGTATCGACATCAATACCCGCCACCATAATATGCGATCGCATGCTTTCCTGACTAACCGCCTCCCACTAACCAACTACGGATGGAATGAGCCCATGCGGAGCATGTGTCGTATCTTTAACAGATGCTAAAATGTATTTGACTTCAATGTTTCCCGTTTTAGAAGTAAGTGCAATTTTAAGAGTATTTTATGTTAATTTGTCTACAATAAGTATACTGTCATTGGGGTGAATATTTTACCTGTTGACCATAACATAAATAAATAAATAGTGACAATTAAAAGTAAAAAAAAGTCACGTTACCACCTCTGCACGAGATAACTAATCTCTCTCCATCTCATTAGGTCACACAATTAGCTATTTCACTCTAAGTGAGTCGAAACAACCCTGCCTGTAAACCACATAAATCTCTATTGTGAAATTATTGAAGAATCAAAGTGACCATTGACTCACAGATGGCGAGTATGTGAAAATGGTAGTGACGTTTTGATATCTGTCAAATTGTATGACATTTTTTTAGTACATCAAAATTTTTGTAATTACGGATCTTAAAACTAGGTGTAGCATGACCAGTGTTGGTTTTGCTTTGATTCGCCAATTGAAATCATTCTTCCTACCGCTAGGTGCGCTAGTGTTCACAAATGAAAATGCGTCACCCTCTTCTTTTTTGATTCGAACAAGATGTGTACTGCCCACCATAACATATCAGTTCGATCTTTCCTTGATTTCCAATTCATACGCAATTGCTATCCGGTTATTTGTAGTCTACCTATACCAAGGATCCGAAGGTCTTGATTCCTGTTCTGTACCTGCTCAAGCAAAGTAATTTTACAGACACTCTCGTGTTGCTAAGTTCCTGAAAATGGACCCCACATCACGCTCCGTTCCAATTAAACAGTGTCGAACAACGTTGCGAATCATGCGGGGGCCGACAAACGGGCATTGTCACGCGTGACAACTTACTGACAGGCTACAAGTCTCAACTTCACCTCCATCTGTCAATCAATCGCGGTCTTGTTTCACTGTTTCTGCAATATCACAGCGATCGATCAATCGATCGATGATGCAGATCACAACTCGCTCGAACATGTGCGTGAAGCTGCTGATTACCGACTACACAGAGTCGAGTCTTAATTGATTTTTGTAAATTTTATTTCCAAAACGTGACGCGGAAACTTACATGTGTTGGTCGATGTGGCCAGGGATTCCACGCTGCAGACACGCTTCGAGTAGCTGGACGACGAGTATGATTCATTGATGCTGATTTTGTCTAGCGGGTACATGTAGCTGGAACGAAAAAAATAGGAAGGAAGGAGAACCATTAAACCTTCGTCTTGGCCGTCGTAAGATGTGCGCTGAGCAGAGGACGTGTGTTTGAGGGCGATTTATGAATGAATTCCCACCTCTTGGCGGGTCGTCGGTCGCTTTCCGGCAGTGGAAGGGAACCGGTACTACGCTTCATAGGCACGACCGGGGGTCATAAATTATATTCTAGATTTTTGACGTTTTTTTCCTCTCTCCTCCGCTTTATGAAATATAAGTGCCGGAGAAAATTAATTGTTGGTTTTCAACCACCAGTGGTAAACAAACGAGTTAATGGTAATTAGATGTGCGGTGGATGCTCGCGCTTTGGTGTGTTACGGGTGGACATTGCTCGTTTTTCATGAATTACGCGTGTAATGTCATACGGCAAGAGCCTGGTTAGACATAGAGGTTCGGAAAATAATTGCCCCGTCGACTTGGAGTGGCACGAGTGTTGCACATTGGATAGACTCTCTATGGAACTACCCTCGATGCAGCTTAAATGGCACTCGGCTGTTGCTGCTGCTGCTGCTGTTGGTAGACTAAATAATGTCATAATGTAGCGTTTGATTTATGAACACGCTATATTTTAAACATGTCTCGTGATGCGAATCAAATATCATTTAGCGTCTGTGTTCATGGTGGCCTATTTATTATGTGAGGTCTGTGGAGCTGGAAATTTTGATTTATTTTGAACATTAAACTTTAGGAAAAAGCTGAGCTGTATTGTGAGAATGATGAAGGTTTGTTTAAATATCATTTCGATAAAATTGCTGGGGGCTTTAAATGACCTACTAGTTGCTCGTGTGATTGAGTTTGCTTAATCATTTAGAAACGGGGACGATAAATTGCTTTATTTTGTATGGTGAATGTCAATTCTCGCTGAATCTGTGGGGAGATTTTCGAATCAGACATTTTATAGTATTTAAGTATTTCCAGTATTTCCAAAACCAATGAATAATTTGTCGGGATCTTCAGAAATTCTCAGTATTGAATCATGGTTGCATTCCTTTAAAATCAAATATGAATTATGCAGAACAAGGGATATCTTTTTTATTCTATTAAATTGCTTTTGATTTTTTTCAGTATCCCAGATACATAAAAACGTTCACTCTTAATTATTTGATGTAAAGGATACCACTCATTGTTGCAGGGTACAGCCATTAGACAGTGGACTGTCCACCTCGTATTGACTTGTTTACCATTGTATGAAGGGCCAAAAACGGAGGGTGGACTCGAAAGCAGACACTTACGTGTGATCCACGGGAGCAACAAGAATTTCCTTTCAATGATAAAAATGTTCCAACCCGATACAGAACAAGCCATCATACGAGGGGATGTCCCAATGAGTGGGGAGAAGAGCCCACCTTCAATTCACGAAATGTTAACAACAGGGAGTTGGCAATTTCACTCTCCCCATCTGAATCGCTTCAATCTGGTGATTTGATGGTTCCATCCCTACCCAATGAATTTATATGTTTATATGAAAATATGTAAAATATACGAATGTAATGCTACACATGATTTTCTGCCCCACCATTGAATATTTCCATACTAGTCTCATATGAAAGGGGTGACCCTTAGCTCTAGTTTGGTGGGTGTTTCAGCGGCACTGATTTTTTTTTTAATATAAGATTTTCTTCCAGAGACACCACGAGAACATCCATGAAGATAATCGATCAATTAACTCTTTAGCACTCAATTCTGAGTTGGTTGGAAATGCTATCGAACATGAAGCTTTAGTGTGATAATTTAATAGTCTGAGAAAGGTCTTAAGAGGGTTGGTTTATAGTTTCGCTATGCGCACGAGTATTGATGGTCCGTAAGTGAGAATAACAATAACTAACCAACATTTTTGGCTGGAGCGAAGGTGAGGATAACAAACTTCGCACTTGAAAATGAAATTACGCAAGTATGCGAGTTATATTTAAATGTCAGAAAGATCAATGGTACGGTAGCATGAAAATTGAATAGAAATTGGGGGAAGGGCCACAAATGCGGAAGTACTAGTCAAACGCACACTCCTTTATCTAACTCATGCATGAATGGATGAGGAGACTTGAAAAGTATTTCTTCAAATCTCAATTCTGTTTTTACGCGATTTTTTCTCGCCTCTATTTTTGGTCGTATGTTCTCAAATTGCAACAAAATGTTATGCAACTTTAAAAAAATAAAAAATAAGAAAATCAAAATAAAATCACCGAAAAATATGATGGTTTTAAACATTTTGTAGTCATGCTGCATAAGGGCAATCACAAAAAAAAAACAGCGTAAAAATGGAATTTAATGTATATGATAGGCTCTTTTCTCGTGATACGTGAGATTTTTGAAAATTGCACTTAGAATTTCTACCTTACGTCTTGTTTAAGTTGTTATTGTTCAGAATGTCTATAATTGTGCTCCAACGAGTTTTGAAGAAAATGAGGCAATGTGGGCTAATTCATTGGTGTACACAGTGTACAATTATGTGTAGCTGATTTCCTTGGCTTTCTACCATATCATTCAGTGCATTTAATTATACAGAGCCAAATTGCAGTTAATTTTGCCTGAAATTGAGAGAAATAGGTAAAATTGGATACTTCTAGTATTCTGCGTGAGACAAAACCATCGAGATTTGATTTTCCGGATTTTTACATTAGAATAAGTATTTCAAACTCCCTGAAGCCAGCGGTACGAAAAAAAAGTGTGGCTCTGAATCAGTTTTAGCTCTTATGTACTGTTTGGAGCGATCTTTAGTGATTCAATGGTACCGACGGAACGGTTTCCTGGTAGTGCCAACTATAAGAGAAATCGCATTCCTCACATCTCACCGCGCGAGAGAGCGAAGAGGTTTTCAAAAACTGTTAAAAGTTGAAGTTTAACATTTATTTAATTTTACTTAGTTTGAGATCTCATAAAAAATCAATGCCTTAATGGTTAAGTTAGGTTATCTTTATTAGAGAGACTTTCAGCCAGAGCAATGCATTAATGTTTTGACTTCATGAAGTCGCAGACATTTGATTAATTTCAAGTTCGCGATCTTTAACACATTTTGGGATTTAAAATATGTTTACTAGTTTTGGAGATATAAATGGAAATATTTCATTTTAAATAAAACTCCCTGAATCTTCATTTTTTTTTAATCCAGGATAATACAATTTTTTTGCATGAAATCTGTAAGAAAAATCGAAGTCTAAGAATTTTCCTGCTTTCCCAAATCTTGAATCTTGATTTTTTTCGCTGTCCAGGATCTCGAAATTTTTATAGAAACATTGAATTTCCTTACAATGTGCTCTATAATACTCTTGAAAGTCTACTACAGATCACTCATCATACTCTTCATATTATTCACAATTCTTACAGTGTATTAACTAGCAATTCACCAAAAAAAAAACTCCTAAACAAATTACTTGGAGTTCTTCTCAGCATTCACTTAGCATTCTCCTGAAATTCCCATGGAATTACCATAGGAATTCCTTTTAAGTTTTGCTCTAAATTCCCATTAATTTTTTGAAATGCTTCTAAGAATTTCCTTGGAACTCTCTTTTAAATTTTACAAAAATATCACCGGACTATCTTTGAAATACTCCTCGGAATTCCTATGAAATTTCCCCTTAAATTTTGTTGGAACTATCCCCGATATTTGGAATTCAATTTCTTTGGAGTTTTTCTTGAAATTTCCTTAACATTTTCCTTTGAATTCTTCCGAATACTCCTATGAAATCCATCGGAATTATTTTCAGAATTTTCGTTGAATTCACTTCAGTATTCCCTTTGAATTTCTCCTTAGAATCAACCTGCAGTTCTCCACACATTTTATTAGAATTGTGAAAATTTGTTCGGCATTCGAGTTAGAACACTCTGGGAATTCCTTTGAAGTTCTTCTGGAATCATTCTCAGATGTAATTTTAATCCTTATTTTATCATACCCCCTAAGTAAAGTCTGGAACACGCAAAATTGGCCAACTTCAAATTGGTGTATTGTTCTGGTCGGACTTAGCGAGCTGCCATTATGGGAAAAAGGCAATCGAGTGGTACGATCCGAACAACGTGGTTGTGGTATACAAAGATCACAACCCTCCCAACAGCCCAGAAGTCCGCTCTATCGAACGGTATTGGGCCTCGGTCAAACGAAATCTCAAAAAAACTAATAAATCCATAGAAAACGAGCAGCAGTTTAAATCTAACTGGCTTTCGGCAGTGAATAAGGTCGATGAGGCCACTGTGTAAAATTGAATGGAAGGGGTTAAGAATAAACAAACATTTTTTTCCTTTAAATATATGAATAGAACTACCAAAAGAAAAGTATGTATATTTTTGGGATATGAATTTTGACTGAAAGAAACGATTTTTTTGTCGGCCAAGTTTTGCGCGTTCCAGTCTTTACGCAAGTGTGCGAGTTATATTTAAATGTCAGAAAGCTCAATAGTACCAACAATCACTACGAAACTAACGATTTTAAATTGGTTCACTACTTGACTAGCCTATTGGTCCCAAGCAAACGATTAACGTATCCCATTCTAGTCGAAATTCTAGTACTACGCAATGTTTGTTTTGATTCGCTATGAAAGTTTGACAGATAAAATGAGGGGTTATTGGTTTTTCCTATGTTTCGAGGGGTGAATCGATTAGCTTGGGACCGAAGAGAGTACCAGAGCTGAGCCAAAAAGTTGAGCACATTATTTCGGGAACTTCTAGTCTTAGAGTTACCTCTATGTTAGTACGGCAGCATGAAAATTGAATAGAAGTTGAAAATGGGCAAAGGGCAATAAATGCGGTAGTACTAGTCAAACTCACACTTCTTTACTTAACTCATGCATGAATGGATGAGGAGACTTGAAGTATTTCTTCAAATCTCAATACTGTACTCTTGAAAGTCTACTGCAGATCACTCATCATACTCTTCATATTATTCACAATTCTTACGGTGTATTAACTAGCAATTCCCCGAAAAATACTCCTAAACAAATTACTTGAAGTTCTTCTCAGCATTCACTTAGCATTCT